ACTACAGTGACTGTAAGAGAATAAGAAGCAATGAGAGGGAATAGAAGACCACAGAACCGTCACCTTTATATCTACAGCACCAGGCACCAGAATGGAGGAGTAGCAGTTCAAGGACACAAATCTTTACTACCATTATAAGCCATATTTCTATTTACTCTGCCCAAAATATCAGCTGTTTCAGCCACCAAAGAAAGCCTAGAAACTTCAACTAGAAGAAGAGAAACAAGGTTATTCTGCCACTCTGAAGCTGGTAAGGCTCTGCTAGCAAAGGGTTGTGAAAGACTTTTACTTTTCCTCTGCTTCCAATCGCTTGCTTTAAATCACTTATTTTGGAGAGTTTGGGGTTACCAAACTAAATATTGCAAATAGAAAGGCTGAAGCCTATGCAAAATAAACAATTTAAGAACCAAGCTTGGCTGATTTCTTTTTTCCTCCATGTTGGAGATAAAAAGAAGGAACACATTCTAGTAATCCCTGCTCATTTTCACAGCCATTCTTGCACCTGTAACTCAAATAATGAAGCCATTTGTTATTTATATTGCACTTTCCCCTCCATTCTAGATTTCTAACGATCTGACCCTGTTTTATGGCCCTGACAGAGCCTGAAACCAGTGTGGACTTCCAATAATTGAACGATATAGAGAAAAATCTTTAGCTGGAATGAAGCAGATGTTAGCTTCATGCAGTCCCCTAACTTGATTATTCTTTGGACACATTAGACAAGCATTAGTGATTGATAATGATGCTAATTAACCCCTTTCCTTTCCAAAACAGCAAACCAACGCCAGCAGGATTCTGCAAACAACGCACACAAAGTACAGCATATAGTAATATCCTTTCAAAGCACATCAGCGACACAACTTCATTGCCCAGTGCTCGACAAAAATCTCCTGCCAACACACTGAGCCAGCTCCAAATCCCCTCTAAGAGTTAGCAATTCCTGCCACTTGCAGAGAGAGCCCTTCCATCCCAAAAAGGTGCATGGGACAGAACCAGCGACACCATTTATTTCCTGCACTCCTGACCTTTCACATTCAGTTTAAACAACCCTGCCCTAACTCGATGGGATGGGCTTCGTGTCGCTCCCCATCAGAAGGGTGCTTGTTATTTTAGCTACACTTTGTGAGCGCAAGGGCTGACGCTCTGGGAATCTGGTCTGGGCCGAGACACGCACATAGCGAGGAGGGAAAGGGAAGTGCACACCCTGGAATTTTAATGTGTGGCAGAAGACGAGTAAACAAACAAGGAGCTGATCTGATTACGCAGTTGAATTTATCATGGACAATAAAGAAATCGCCTCTAAATATAACGGTTTGCATAAATGAATACTACTAGCAAGTGAATAAAATTTATTCAATTAACTAAAAACCTCGTGCACTTCTGAACTGAAGTGGAATCGACTGTAATTGATTTATTTGAAACCAGAGGTTAAGGACTGAATTAGCTAAGTACAACTGGGTATTTCAAGCCACTGACTTCTCAAATGTCAAATCCCTTCTATTTTAAATATTATTTCAGCTGCGGGGCATTGCTGTCCTGATGGCTGTTCCACCAGTTAAATCTCAAATTATATTAATATTCGATTTTTGGAGGGTGGGGTAAATTACAGTACAAAGAGGAGGGCTGTCCTTGTTCACAGTGAAAGAGCACCGAGCTGTATTTTGGTTCACATGTAGGAATTAGCTTAACGTGGCAGCAACGGTCTAACGTTCAGCCACCCCTCACCCTCATTTCAGCCAATCTTAGGGAAGGGGGGGTAACAACAGCAGATTTTTGTTTGGTGTATAAAAGCATGACCTAGAATTTCACTGCTGCACATTGATCACAACGTTAAAAAACGCATCCAAAGAGCGCTAAAGTAATTAGCATGTTTTAGTAACTGCGTATTGGTCACAGCAGAAGAGGCTGAACCGAAGCTAGTCAGATTTCCATTATCGCCTGCAAAAATCCTTCCTTAGAAATAACAGTAATATAGAAATCTATGCAAGGTAATTTCATTTCTGTTTTCTGGTGGCTTGCTAATACAGCAGCAAGACACTTAAAATGTGCTCTCCTAGCATAAAGTGGCTAATTATATCTTAAAAACATTATTTATTATGACCTTATAATGTTCTAGTATAAGACTGCTTTATACATTGCCCAGTATAAAACGATTATATTGGGTACAGGTTTCAAAAAGTAACAAGCATCTGTAAATCCAGATATGAATGAATGGTATTTAATAAGATTGTTTTCATTTAAAAATGAGTATTTATGTGTTGCTATAGAAAGAGCAGCAATGTATTGCTGTTTATGAATGCTATTGTGCCTGAGGTTAGGATCCCACACACAATCTGAGATGCAGCCAAGAAAAACAGCCCTGATAGACAATGCTTCACTTCACCTGCTACAATACTGTGCATTTCATTTATGTCAAGAATATGTACAGTTAGGGTTCATTCACCTCATTATTCTGTTACATCTACTTTACAGCTAACCAGTCTCTCTTGGAAATAATAAATAACTGTTTTTAAAACAATTGCAGCTTTGCATTCAAAAGATCCACTTTCAATTTATAGAAAAAAATATTCACCATTTTTATAAACTGGCTGGCTCTCGAAAATAGAATTTAGACTCCACCAACTCTCTTTCTGCTTGGCAAGATTGATTTTACACTGCCTCCTGTAAGTAGATTACCAAAGCAAAATGAAACATCTTGGGCTTTATCTAATGCTTTGCTTCACCAGCCTTACCAAACGTCAAAATATATGAGCAAATGTTAATTCTCTTTGCAGCTTTACTGTAAACACCTCCCTCTCAACTGCCTCAATTTCTGCCTGAGAGGGAAAAAAAAAAAAAGAAAATAAAAAAAAAAAGGGAGAGAAAGACAGAGAGATTCAGGAAGGGAAGGAAAGAGAAAAATCAGCCACCACCACCAAAATACCATCAGCACTTCAAGAAGACCATCTCTTTAAAATGCCTTTACATTCTAAATGGCATTAGTCTCCCTTCCTATGATATAATATGATCCAGCCTGATCCTGACTTCACCTACCCCCTGGGCCAAAGAAAATCAATTCAAAGTCTGAATTCTCACATGTTTTTACAGCCCATCTTCAAGACATATACACCATTTTTTAAAAAGCAAACATCCCTATTTTACAACTGGTTTCCACAAGAAGAAACTCAAGATAAAAATTTCAGTCCCTTACAAACTGACACAGCCATCTCAAAATGTCAATCTGTGCATTCTACTAAAACATGAACCATCAATCAGAAATAATCTGTCTCCTGCAAGATTTCACTAAAGTTCACAACCGTGCAATGATTTTGTTGGCATCAACTAAGACGCTTTAATATTTTTTGTCTGGAGGGGGAGGGAGAACCCGACTCTGATTCACCAATGTGTAATTTTTTTCATAGCACCTAGTTTTCATTATTTGCTCAGTAATGATTCTTTTTAAAATGCCTTTCCTGAGATAACATTTTTTAAAAAAATATCTGGTTTCTATTAGGACGACTACATGTACAAAATTTTATAGACTTATAATTCTGCACATTATACATAAACATAAATAAAAACCTAGAGGTCAACATAAATAAAATAAAACTTTATTTTTTTTAAATAAAATTATGTTTTGGTTAAAGAAAAGATACTGTGTCACTTTGTTAGTAGTACAGACAATTTTTTATCCAAAAGAATACATTGTGCTTTATTGTGTCATTTGTCTGAATACAGACTCAGTGGAATATCTAAATGATACCCTGCTCTGAACTCCAAGTTGAAAGTAAGTTTTTATTATACTTGAGGGAAACAATGGGTTCAGCTGCTTATTGCAAGGAGCAATTGTCAAGGGAGAGTTAAACTCAATTACTGTAACCATACTGAATAAAAAATACTGCCAAGAACAAAAATACGCCTGGGTAAAGACAGCCACTGAATAAAAAAATCGACATAAAGCGTATCAAATATTTATTTATCTGGGCAACAAAGGACTATGATACATTGACAGGCATGGAAACTACTGCCGGCACAACTCAATACAATACAACTATAACTGCTTCCAATATGGCCAGTGGAAATACAGGATACCAGGTGGTCCCAAATGTTTGAATTTCTTTGGGAAAGAAAAAGAAAAGAGAGAAAAAAAAAACACAAAAGAAAAGGAGAAAGAAAAAGAGAAGGGGTGGAAGGAAAGAAAAGCTAAATCTTGTTTTAAAAGACAATATTAATTTATTGCTCTGATGGTGCTTTTGGAAGAAGGTCAGTGGATGAAAAAAACTTCTTTCATTTTCCACAACACATAGGGGTTGTAAAACCACTAACATGTTTAAAAACCTTGCCAGGGTCCAACATCACTTTATTTTATCTTCAATGAGAAACTAAATGTCATACTAATTATATATAAAAATTCATTTTTTTTTATTTGTTCAGCTGCTTCATTGTCGTCTTTAACATGCTACAACAGGGCTAAAAATGATGAATCCCAGAGAAAAACCCCCAAAAAACCTCTGATATCTAAATAAGTACCATGAACCACATGATGAACTAAGAGGGGAAAATTTAAAACCCACTAAACAAGAGGTAAACGAGATCACCAGATAAATAAAAAAGGCTTAAAACAGACTCACCATATTTACAATTCCCATTAAATTACACATAAATAAATATATACATACATGAACACTGATTCCCTTATATAATAACCGTGAATCGTGTTGCAATAGAAAGTTCAAGTTGGTCACTTTACCTTGGACAGGAAAAAGTTCTACAACTGAAGATATGACATGGAACTGCTAGTGTTTTGTGTTCAAGTTTATTCGCAATACTGATAAAATGTCATCAGTCCTTTTTGCCTGTTGTTTGTTTACTGTTGCACTTCTTTCGCTTTTTTTTCCCCCCATTTTTAATATGGCTACAATCTTAACTGAAGTTTATGTAAGGGAAGGTGGTGATTCAGTCCGGTGAAGCTCATAGTATTTTTTAAGTATTACTTATTTCTTTTTGGATTTTTTTTAAATTTTTTTTTTATTTTTTTAGAAAAAAAAAGTCCTTTTCCTTTTTTGTTTTGTTTTTGTGTATTTTTTTCCTCATTTTGTTTTATTTAAAAAAAAAGTTCACAAACTCAAGAGAGAACTTTTTTTTTTTTCTTTGCTGGCTCCGTCCCCTGTTCTGTTCTCTTAGGCTCCAAACTGGGGTAAAACGATGGTGGCAGCAGGAAGAGTGGTGGTGGTTGGGGGTGGAAGTTAAGAGGGAGCAAATGGCAATGTGGATGCTGGGCAGGGGTGCAGGGAGAGGGCAGAGCAGTCCTGCAGAGTCAGAGAACAGGATTGGCAGAAGGACGCTCATTCTGTTGCTGTAGCCTGGGGTGCTGGGAGCAGGGGAGAGGGAGGAGGGAGATGAATGCGTCGATGGGCTATGAGGGGGAAGGGAGAGGAGCGTGTGGGGGAGATCCTCACTTTCGGTGCTTCTCCTCTTTGTCGCCGCTTTTGGTGCTGTTGTCTGTGTGGCTGTTGGGATTGTTGCTGAGGTACATTTTGTCCATGGCCTTGAGCGCCTCGGTGAGATAGTTCTGCAGGGCGGTGACAGCAGCGCACACTGCTGGGCTCCCAAAACCGTGCGAGATGAGGTTGAAGTGGGTCAGGCAGCTCTGGATGCCCGGCTCCAAAATGGGGTTGGGCCGCGAGTTCCCCAGGGGAGATCGGTCCTGAGCCAGCAGGTCGGTGAACTCTTTACAGATCTGTCTGTGGCACAAATGGAGCAGAGAGATGGAGGGAGGGGAAGAGAGAGGGAGTGAAATGATCCATCACTGGCAGCAGCAAAGCCCATGCGTGCTCCCTGCTAGATGACACAAGCCCCCGGACCAAGGGGCTGCTGCCCCCGAGTGCACACGTGCTCTCTCACCTCTCCCTCCTCTCTCTACATGTCCTTTCTCCCTAATGCTCACACTTCAAACTTCTTCCCTTCACCTGGCGTGCACACACGATTATGCACACACGTCACACCCTGACCCCAGCCAACACACAGACAAATAACTGGCACACAGACACACATGCACATCCCTGCCTACCACCCCTCATCCCTGTATAGCAGCCCCACACACCTTCCCCCCCAGCACATGTCCCTGTGCAGCTGGGTTTTGGAGCAGACACATTGTTTAAATTCCCCAGCAAGGTGGAAGGGAATAGAAGGGGTGCGATATCAAAAGGGAGATTCAGGGATTTATGCACATTTTGGAAGATCTCTTTTCTTTTTTTTTTTGGAACTGGAGAGCCACAGGCTCTTCACAAGGCTAAACCACACCTGTGTGTCAGGAAGAAAGAGCGAAGGCAGAGAGAGGAATCGAGGCTTTAAATTAGGGTGTCCGGAAACATTTATGTATGTATATCTCCAAACCCAAAGGGACCTTTCCACAAAGGAAAAGGCTGATGCTAACTGGGATCTGGAAATTTCCTTCCAGGGAGGTGGAAAGTGAGGATATGAGGGCACAGTGCAGAAGTTAGGTTATATCATCTACTCACTGCATAAACGGTTGGGGAAATAACACACCTTATCATAAGAGAGCTCAGAGGCGTGTTGAAACAGTTTGTATTCTAAAACCCGCATTAACGTCTTCCAGCCATAAAGCAGCTCCCATCTTCTGCCTGCACCCTCTGGCACTGTGCCCTTTGCTGACACCTCCATTGGTAATTAAGGGCTACTAAACAACCCTTTTAATTTCCAGCAAACATATCAAAACAATAATTTTCTTTTCACACACCACCTGAAGTCTAGGCAGCCCCACCAATGATAAATTCCATGAGCATTTTAACTGCATACAGATTGTCATTTAAAATATATTTTTAATATCCCTATATTAACTAAGTAACAGAGCTGCTTAAGGCAGAAAGAACCATTGCCGGTTTTAATGAACTGAAATTGGTTTAATGTGCCAGTTTTATTTTACTGTCAATGGGAAGCCTTCCGCTTCTACCTTGATAAGCTAAGTGAGAAGGCCCGGAAAATGTTTTCCTCTGAAGAATTACCGCTTTTTCTTTAACTAAACATCCACCCACAATTTTCATTATTCGTTTTCAAGGTAATCTGCACGAACTGACTGAAAACCAAGCTGGCTTGTAGAGTTCTCCTCTAGCAGGAGGGCAAATACACCCCCTCACAGTTTGCAAAACCATCAGCCACTGGCTGTGCCACACACTCACAAATAAAAGCCCCAAACCCAGGTTCGTCGTCCTCCCTTCAACTCCTGAGAAACGTACCAGGAAGGTAAATGTCTTACTTTGTAGCTAGAAGCATGTTTTTTCTTGTGACTTGCTCGTTTGGATCGGAATGTTGTCGGTTGAGAAATTCAGCTACTGCTTTTGCAGGAAATTCTGTCTCACAAACGTACCCAAAATCTCTAGCTAGATGCACTGCTTCTCCTGAAAAGGGAGGTATGGGTGGGGATGAGAGGGAAACACAGCTCATCAGTACTCATGGAGGTAAAAATCCATTAGGAAAAAAAAAAAAAAGCACTACATTCTACTTGGGCTTTTCTAAAAGGCTTGGCCTTTTTTTCTTTGAAAATGGTAGGGTAAGAAATGCTAATCACATCTTATCTTGCAGGAGTTTTCTTTGCTTCAGTCTAGGGCAATGCAAATGTGTATTTTCATGACAATCGTTACAAGAGAAATTTCGCATAAGAATTTTTTAAAGTTTACAATGACTAACAGATACTTTCAGACAGGCAGGCTCCATCCACCTAGAATGTGCGCTTAGATTTACATATCCATACCTATGCTGCACAGCCATTTGCGTGCACTTCATTCACAGCTATTTAGTCTGGAAATGTTTGTTTGCCTCAGCCACGTCTCTCTATTCTTCTGCAATGCATCAATGATTAATATTGATCATAATTACTCCTAGAGCTCTTCTAAATAAAATGCATTAAACAGCTAAGTGTTTAAAATTTAACTTGATCGCATATAATTATATGTTCACCCCCAAACGATTAGCCATGAGAATTTTAGGGTCATTCCACCGAGTCTGTCTGTTTTGTTGATTTTCAAATCTTTGGTTTTAATTTCCTGAACCAGTTGGTTTTTACTGCAGGGCTTCCTGCCATTAGCTCAAGCTCCGGAAGAACGCATGCGCCAATTAGAGCTTCAAAGCCTCAGTCCAGTGAGCTTGTTTCCATAAAATGGAGCGGATCATAAACAATAACAGTACTCTAGAAACTGCCTCATCGCTACAGGACTCAAAGCCCCAGCAATGTTTAGACTATCATCCCCACAAAGTTAGCCACCATCCCCAAGTTATCTGGAGATTGGGCCTCTAGTTTTGGTGTTGGTTCTTTTTTTTAAATAATGCTTTTAAAGCCTTTTTATGTGAAAGCCAAACAGAACAATAGATTACCATAAAACCTTCTCCATATTCATTAACATCACAAATGATGCTAAGCATCTACCAAATCTAGACTTTTTACAAGTTTTTCCCTTGCGATTTTCGATGCAATTGCAAAGCCTTTTCAAGTACATGAAGACACAGTAATTTTCACGCAGTATAAATATAGCACGGTTACTAATCCTGATGTTCAAAAAAATGAAGCCTGGCATTGCACTGCGTTTCTTTCACCGTCCCTTTGAACATGAAACATTTCTCGTAGAATGCGAAGCAACAGCAAAACAAAGCAACAAATTCCCTCCTACACAATCAAACTTACACTAAACCTGCACAGCCCGGGCTCAGCTTAAAAGCACTTTGCAGACTGAACTGGCCTAAAATGTTGTCCAACCTATAAGCTAGGGAGTAGGATCTATTTACTGGCCTTGGGCTTATTTTGTGCCAATCAGTCTGACACAGCAACCGCTCAAAAAGTAAATGACTGCAAATTCTCGAGCTTCCCACCCTTTAGGTTCTTGACAGCATAGGGCATGCCAAGGCATTAAAAGTAAGTTGCACCTTTTCTGCTTACAGCAAAGTAGAGGAGAATGATATAGCCAAGGGAACATATGTTCTGAAAATGAGAACCAAAAGGGAGTGGGGGGGGAAAGTGGTGCAACTTTGAGGCTTTCAGGATACCATTAATTCATGGCTGAGGTCAAGGATTCCCAAATTAATTCAGGAAGTAATGGTCATGCATTTCTCAAATGCAGATGTCAAAAAACTTAAATGATTTACTGTTATGTGGCTACGGGCTGGGAAGGAGAACAAACTTAAAGTAGCCGAAGTTTCTGGGAGTTAAAATTGCTTGGTTGTCCACTTGTGGCAGAAGGATGGCAGTGAAGCATTACAGCTCCCCATAACTTCCAACTTGACACTCGGGAGTCACTTACAGGTCTCAGCCCACAGCCCCTGCTCACAGAGATCCTTCTCGTGCTGCTCCCCATGAGATTCACTTACTCTGGGGAGGGATTACTCACTTGAATGAGGGTGCATATGGGGCCCTGAAAACGTTTAGCTCAGAGACTTAATTAAAGGTACACAGTTCAAAATTTTTTCTGAGACATAGAAAATAACACCTTCCCAATTTCCAACAAGCAGCACCAACTCAGGGCAGGGGAGAACCAACCCAAGGACAAGTCTTCTCCCATTAGGCAAAAGCAACAGGTACATTTTCCAAACAAGCCCTCCCAGCTCTTTGAGTCACTTACCCTCCACCAGTGACGTGAGCAAGGTAACGTTAGCAGCTTTACGCCTCCCGGCTGGCAGGTTTAATCCTATTTTGTCCAGTTTCTCCCTCAGAGATCTTCCTCCGTTTTTAGACTTCGCCCTGTTTCACAGAGAAAAGCATTGAGAAACGGGACTGATGGGGGGTACCCTCACCCGCTTTGGCTTCCGCCAATGGATTAACCCAACACATTGCCTTTGAGCAGAGGGAAGTAAAGAGTTTGGGATGGGGGGAGCATCACAGTTGTGGGGGTCTGAAGAGTGAGTGTGGCTGACAGCTGAGTCTCAGACATGGGTATGGGGCTTTGGATGGCTCCATGTCTAGGGAACAGGGGCTTTCACTAAGTTCCAGATCAGCCTCCACGCTGGTGGGGAGCTCTGGGCCCATGTGAGGCAGCTGCTTGAGCACTTAAAGCACGATGGACCCAGGGGGCAGCTTTTCCTCACAGCTCACAGCCAGCAGCCCAGGCATTATGGAATGAAGCCAGTTTGTAAGGTCAGCAGTCCGCATTACTGCCACGGAGCATCACTGCCCAACAAACTGGGCCGTGGAGGAGGAAACTGGCTTTATTAATCCTTGATGCTATTCTCTGCCCGGGCACTGCATAATTTCCTGGGTGAGAGTGCAGGGCCCAGGGCAGCGGGCAGCAAGGTGGGTGCCTATAGGTAGGAGGGAGGTTCCTGAGGGAGGTGTATTTGAGGGGGGGAGGTGTTTATCACTGTGACAGGACAGTGTGGCCCGGCGGGGGGAGGTACACACACTGGTCGTGCCGGGCCCCCTGCCCTCAGCCCAGACC